TGAACACAAGATGTTACAGGAAAACAATTGTAAAGCAACTTACCTGATTCATATCCCTGATATGCAAACTACTTATATAATTCTGAGTGACCTGGGAGATTTAGAGTAATACATATTCATGTATTATCTCTTGTATCTGTTGATGGGTCTATGATTCTAGATATTCATTTCTATCAAATATCTTCTATTTACTATCTATTTGCTTATCTTTAACATAAATGTGATACAATTAGATTGTAAGTTCCGTGAGTGTGAGGGCTTGTCTGTTTCATTCACTCATCTATTTCAAGTGTTTCATACTTCCTTGATACCTAAAAGATATGCCATAATACCTGTAGATTTATTGATGGAGTGGTTGATTAAATGGAATTAATTGGAAAAGATTTTCAAAAGGGAGAAGTCACAGGTGCCCACAAATGTTGGGGATAGTAACATGGGGTAGGACTGCAGCTCTGTAAGATAGAATTGATCTTAGAGGTGAACCATTCCATATTTGATAGTTTCAGTCAGTTTGATGTGGACTAACTCAACAACCAGTGATTTGGGTTGTGGAAATCATAATTCTCTGGCTGAGAGAGGATTTTTTTTTTTCCTTTTAGATCTGAAACTTTGATAAATGTGACTTAATTCTGTGTGGGGATGTACCTATGTGAGGGATTGATTTGAATTGGAATTTTTTTTCTTAAAAAATACATATGTAAATGTGGGACACATGTGCTAAGTCATAACAGATGAGATTCATTCGTAGCAAATTCTCCTTTGTAATTTAATTTTCCAACCTACCTGAGCAAAGTTACAAATATTTTCTCTTAGAAACTAAAAAGTGAAGGTTCTTAAATTTGGCCTAGGTATTAACCAAAAGCCGCTTAGACACAAATATAATCATAAATATATCTAGAAATACAATTTCACAATCACTTGATCTATATTGTGTGAAATTTTAGTTGTTATCTACTTGCACACAAAGCAGTTCAGTTGGTTGTATTTCAATACAGAAGAACACTGATACCACACTTGGGTTTAAATTTTGAAATCAAAATTTTTAACTTTTATCAGTTGGTAGAGTGCTTGCCTCGCATACGCAAGGCCCTGGGTTCAATCCCCAGTACCACACACACACACAAAAGGAAATTTAAAAAATTGTATTGGTGCACAATAATTATACACAACAGTGGGAATCATGGTGGCATATTTGTAAGGGCACATAGTGTACTTTGATGAATTTCTTGTTCAAATATTTCCACTTGCCCTCCCCTCCACCTTCACTTAGTGCCTCCTTTCCTGCTGTTCTCCCTTCTGTTTTCATGAGATCCCTGTATTCCCCTTTTTTCTCACTAGCTTCCTATAGAGAGAAAACACGGAACCCTTGCCTTTTCAGTCTGGCTTATGTTGATTGATATGATGGTTTCCAGTTCCATCCATCTTTCTGAATATGACAATGTTTTGTTTTCTTTATGGTTGAATAAAACTCCCTTGTGTATATGTGCCACATTTTCTTTAGCCATTCATTTTTTTTTTTTGTTGATTTTTATTGTTGTTTGTTGTGGTTCTAGGGATTGAACTCAGGGCCTTGTATGTGCTAGGCAAGCACTTTTGCATTCCCAGCCCTCCATTCATCTGTCGATGGGCACCTATGCTGGTTCTCTAATTTGGTTACTATGAATTGCACTTCTATAAATACGGCTATGCATGTACTGCTATGGTATGCTGATGTTAATTCTTTAGGATAAATACTATGAAGTGATATAGCTGGATCATATGGTGGCTCCATTCCTAGTCTTTAAAGGAAATTCCATACTGATTTATATACTGGTTGTAATAATTTACGGTCCCACCAACAATGGTGTATAAATATTCTTTTTCCTCTGCATCCTTACCAACATTTTTATTATTTGTATTCTTGAGGATTATTCTTCCGACTGGAGTGAGATGAATCTCAGTGCAGATTTGCATTCCTCTGATTGCTAAAGATGTTGAATGTTCATTTTTTAAAATATCCTATTTGTATTTCCTTTTTTGAGAAATGTCTGTTTGGTTTATTTGCTCATTTATCGATTGGATTATTATTATTTTTTTGGTGTTATTTTTTTGGGGGGGGTTCTTTTTATCTTCTGAATATTTATCCTCTTTCGGAAGAGTAGTGGACAAAGATTTTTCTCCCAGTCTGAAGTTTCTCCCTTCATGTTCTTAATTGTGCAGAGCTTTTTAAATTTGCTCCCATCCCATTCATTAATTCTTCCTACTATATACTAGAGTTTGGGAGTCCTATTGAGGGAGTTGTTGCTTGTACCTATATGTTGGAGTGTTACCTTTTTTTTTTTCTTCTAGCAGTTGTAAAATTTCTGGTATAATTCCTAAGTCTTTGATCCATTTCAAGTTGACTTTTGTGTAGGATGAGAGATATGGATCTAGTTTCATTGTTTTACCTATGGATATCCAGTTTTTCTAGTACCATTTGTTTAAAAAGTTGTCTTTTCTCCAATGCATGTCTTTGATGCCCTTGTCAAGGATCAGATAACTGTGTGAGTTTTCTCTATGTCTTCTATTCATTTATTAATGCTTATATGTGCCAGCACATCTTCTAGGTTCTGTGGATACCTAGTTCAAAAGTCCTTTGTGGAACGTAAGTTCTAGCCAGGATGGGAGGGTGACAACACTGGACATGGGAGGGCTATGCAGGAAGGGTTACTTCAGATAAACCTCAGTTCTGTGTCTGAATTAATAGGAGGCAGTGTAACAGAGAGGGCCTCCAGAGTGGAGAGGCTAATGGAATCAGTGGCAGCCTTTCTGAGGAATGACAGTTGAGCTGAGACAGAAGGGATGTGAAGGAACAAGTCAGGAGAAGAATGTGGACTAGAGGACTCAAGGAAAGAGAGGTGTAAAGGTCCCTGTGTGAGAAACAGCTGGACATGTTAATGAAATCATTTGTTCCCCTTTGCATCAATTATTTGCTGAGAGTGAGTTTTGTGCCTGAAGTAGTGTATTCTAAGATGCTAGGGAATGGCAATGACAACAGACACTTTAGGTTCAAGGTCTCATGGAACTTACAGTTAGGTGAGGAAGGAAGGAGAGGAGGAGAGAAGGAAGAGAGGAAGGAAGGAAGAGAGGAGGGAAGGAAGAGAGGAGGGAAGGAAGAGAGGAGGGAAGGAAGAGAGGAAGGAAAGATTGAATATTGGATAATAATAAGTGAATTAATTATAAGTGCTATGGAATAATGTGATAGACATTTTGGGGTTGGTTTCCTTGGCTTGAGGAGTCAGTGGGTGCCCTTTTGAATAAACGGTCTGTGTAATCAGAAGGTGGCAATATGAGGCTACTGCTTGGTTGACGCACTCCCTTTGCATAATCCAGATTGTGTGTTGGGATGTAACACAACCATGCTGAAAATGGTGTGTGAATCTATGGAGCTACCTATAACCTTACCACTTTCTCTTCAATTCATGAGTGCATGTGGGAAGGATTGAGCCGTAGTCATTTGAATGTATTAAAAGGGGAAGCAAAAATAAATTTAAATACTTCTTTATTGGTAGCAAATTACATGTGATTCTCCTCACCAAAGGTTTGAGATATTAAAGCTGAAAATAGCTGTTTTAGTGGATAGGAATGTATGGTAGAATTAAGGAGCTTTTGCTGAAAAAATACTGGTTTTAATAGCAATGAAAATTAAATGATAGTATGAAAATAAGTATGAATTTGCTCCTCTTTAAAGGCAAGAATCCGTCTTAGCCTTCTCATGCCTTTTTATTAAAAGCTTGATAAATATACTCAGCACAGAGTATATTTCTTGGTACTTTGCAAATTGACTTTTACATGTTGGGGTGTTGCCTTAGTTCATGCTATAGGGCAAATATTGAGTATTAAATATTAAAAAATTAATATTCACTCAATATTTGAATATTAAAAGGAACAGAAATCTATTTAAATTAGCCTAAGTTCAAGGACTACTTTTGAAAGGAAAGAATAATCAGGAAGCAGAGCCTAGTTTCTATAGTGAATGGTACTGAGAAGTACCATTGCCAAGTAGGAGACCACATGTATTTCTCTCTATATATTTGCTCCATCTCTGTTTTTCCTTTCATGGAAGGCCTTATTCATGGTCCCTTTATCTCATCTTTCCATAAGTTTGCTTTGTATGTAGTTTGGAACTGGACTCAAATTTCATGTGAACTACAGTTTCCAGATTCAATCAATATAATTTCACAGATTCAATCTCTCAGTGACCCAGTTCTAAATCCAATTCCTATGAAAAATATTCTGATTTTCCCAACTCAAATTAGGTATATATGTCCTGGTCCATAGTATGCACATGTGATATATTATTATCACCAAATAATTAGTCCCCCATTCTATGAAATATTGATGACTATCTTACATTTAAAAACTTAGAAAGATAAGAAATCATTTTGATGGCCCCCTTTATCTACTGCCAGTCATGGCCCTTTCACTTTTTTCCTACTCGCTGTTCCCTCTAAAGCTGAACTTGATTTGGAGATACGTGTATAGGTGCACACATTCCACAGAAAATATACATAATAAAATATAAATTATTTCTCCACTTAATAAATATCAATTCTATGCACACAGGATTCAACATCGGACAACATGAGTAGAAGTCCTTGCCTTAGGAAGCTTACTTTCTAGGGGAGGCAGGCATAAAACTAACCAACTTAGAATATTATATGGAACTTGGGGAACATCATGGTTCGATGGAGAAAAATGAAATGTGAAAGTAAATAAGACATATATAGGGAAGTCAAAGGACAGTCATTGTGAAGGTGGCCAAGCTTAAAAAAGGTCATCTAGAGACAGCACATCATATAGCAGAGGAAATAGCATCTTCACATAACATGGAGGACCCCTGTGCAATCTGAGGAAGAACGAGCCAGGGAGTGGACAAATCAGGGTAACTGAGGGATCTGGGAGGTTGGGAGAGGGAGTTGGACAACTGATGGTTTGGGTTCTTGTTCATAAGCCTAAAGCCTTGAATTTTATTCATTCAGGTAGAAGACACTGCATTGCTAATGGGACTGCAAATTGGAGCAACCACTTTTTAAAATTTTTATCTCAAGGCAAGGTCTGCTAAATTGTCCAGGTTGACCTTGAACCTGTGATCCTCCTGTCTCAGCCTCCCAATTAGCTGGGACGACAGGCATGAGCCACTACACTCAAGGAGAAGTCAAGTTTGACAAGTTTTTGGCCTCAAATAACTGGAAGAATGGAGTTTTCATTAACAAAGTATTTTTTTTAAAAAATATGTCCTCAGTTGTTGATGAACCTTATTTGATTCATTTATTTATAAGTCATTCTGAGAATTCAACCCAGTGCCTCACACATGATAGGCAAGGGCTCTACCACTGAGCCACAACCCCAGCCCCTAACCAAGTGTTTTAATCAGCTTTTTTGCTGCTGTGACCAAAAGACCTGAAAAGAACCACTTTAGAGAAAGGGAGATTTTATTTGGCAATCACAATTTCAGAAATCTTAGTCCACAGATAGCTCGCTTTATTGCTCTAGGCTCAAGGTGATTGCAAAATATCATCGTGAAAGAGTGTGGTGGAAGAAAGCATCTCAGAACGTCGCCACCAAGAAGCAGAGAGAATATTCTGCTCAACAAGAACAAAATATAAACCCAAAGGCATCCCCACAGTGACCCACCTCCTTTAGTGACATCTTACCTGCCTACAATGATCACCCAGTTAATTAAACTGTATCAGTGGATTATTGACTAATTAGGTTAAGACTCGTCAAAGCTAATCATTTCAACTCTTAACATTTTTGCCTGTCTCACACATGAACTTTGGGGTGACAACTTATGTCTAAACCATAACACCAAGATATAGAAGATTGTGGAAGAGGAAGATTTTTAAAAAATGTATGTATGCATGTATGTATGTATGTATGTATTCTAACTAGGTATAAATGATAGCAGAATGCATTTTGATTCATCGTACACAGTTGCAGCACAACTTTTCATTTGTCTGGTTGTACGTTATGTAGTGTTTGACTGTATGTGCAATCACACCTGTATCTAGGGTAATGATGTCCATCTCTTTCCACCATCTTTCCTACCCCCATGCCCCCTCTGTTCCCGTCCCTCCCCTTTGCCTGATCACAGTTCCCCGGCCACCTCCTTCTCTCTGTCTCTCTCTCTCTCATTTTGCGTGTGTGTGTGTGTGTGTGTGTGTGTGTGTGTGTGTGTGTTGGGGAGGTGAAACAGGAACTCAGTTTTGAGAATGTTAGAAAGAATTTTAGAAATGACTTTGAATATTTATGGGGAGTGATTGAACAGGCAGTTAAATTTTTGAGCCATCAGCATAGTGGTAATATTTGAAGTCTCCATGCTGAATTAGACTACAAAAATGTACACAGATAGAGACATCTAAGCTGTAAGTCCTGGGCTCTCCAACATTCATAGGATGTAACATTCATAGGAAGAACTAGTGGAGGAGACAGAAAAATGGTGAGTGAAGAGGGAGGAGATCCAGAAGCAGGTTGTGTCCAAGAAACCTCCTGAGGACACTGTTTCAGGGGGAGGGAGTAATCAGCTGTGGTAAATATGATAGTAGTCCACATCAGATGAGAATGGAAAGTGGAACATTGGATTCAAGGTCATGGAGGTTATTAGTGACCTAACATGAACAGTGAAGGAGATGTGATGGTGAAGATAAGATACCTTTGGAGGGGATTGAAGGAATCAATGGGAAGGGAGAATTCAGAAACCATGAATATATAGGATTAAAAAAAATAGTAACATGTTGTATAACTTTATCATTGAGCAATATTCTGAGAATCATACAGTTATTTATAGCTCTAGATATTTTTTCTGAATAATTGCATAGTTCAAGCTTTTTTCTCTATATCATTGCATAATTTCCCATGACATGAACTATTAGATAATGTTTAAGATGGTTATCTAAATAGATGTCTTAACTTTTCTATATTAGTACCAAGAATTTCAATCATTCCTGCCTTAAAACTCTAGAATTTAATATCCAATATTAATCCAGAGATTGAGGAAGAAGAGGCAGAAGAATTTTGAATGATCATAGGGGGACACATATGGGCAGGAACCTGGTGGCAGTGGGGATTTTATCATGGAAACCAGTAGAAAATGAAGTTCCCTGAAGTGTTCTCTCTAATTCTTTTCTTCCTTGGGTCAGGAATAATACTAAAGAGTTAAACACTCACAAAGGTACAAGTTTGGGTTACAGATACTTTTGCCAGAAATACAATTTTGTTTTCAAAATGCACAAGTCACTATTATGAAAGCACCAGTGCTTCTCCATTTCCTTTTGTGCTAGAGTGTGAAGGTTTTTGTTGCTGCTGTAGTTGTTTGAGTACCAGTGTCCAGGATGAGCATCCTTGCCTCCTGAAGCTATTTTCTCTACTCTCAAAACAACTCATCCTATTTTTGAATGCTTTTTAGCAGGAAACCTCTTTTATTTCCAAACTTTCTCTTTCGAAGAAAGGAGCTGTCTCTCTCTAACCTCCCACATTGCGCAGCTGCTTAGGAGGCTTGTAATTAATGGAGATGTGCTAACAATTGCACACCCATTGATGTTCTGGGCTTATTGATAGAAGCAGGGTGGGCAGCACTCGTTGGGCTGGGGCCTCTAACTATACGCTTTGCCAATGAGCTGTAGATTAGCTATTGTTCTTTTTAAGTCAGAGGATCTTTGGGAGCCTGTCTTATATAAGTTCAGGAGAATTTTCCTTGGGGATTATGAAATGATTCCCAACATAGAAGAATTGAAGAGGAATTTTCTGAATAGAATTAGCTTCTTCTGTTGGATCTCTTAATAAGCAGTAGTGCTCTATCCCCTACAGATCTTCCAAAAATTCTGGTAATTGTCTGGGCTTGTTGATTTGTATTTTGAAGTGCTTCTAAATGCCAGCTCTGCATCCAACCTTTCTTTCTTTCATATATATATATATATATTATGTGTGTGTGTGTGTGTATATTTTTATTTTATGTATTTATTTTTATGTGGTGCTGAGGATCGAACCCAGGGTCTCACTCGCGCTAGGCGAGTGCTCTACCATTGAGCCACAACCCCAGTCCCCAACCTCACTTTCAATGTTTCAGTACTGAGAGATTGATCTAGAAGGAAAAGTGTACATTCAGATGTCTGTGTAGGAGCCAAAGAAAGAAACTAGCAAAGCAGGAAGGCATTAGGGAATCACTGTGTTGGGCAAGAACTGGGGTGCCCTGGAGAGAAGATGCTGTGTTCTGGTCAACTGCTACCTTGTGAGAATGTCCACTTTGTGGTAACTACTCCAGTATTTCAAGAGAAGCTAGAAATCTGGATTTTAATGTATCTCTCAGCTTGGCAATGTCAACTTACTCAAAGTTTAAAAAAAAAAATTCCTCTGTAGCCCAACAGTTTGAAAGCCAAAACACACATCTGCAGTCTGGACCCAATCCTGGCCAGCAGTCCGGGACCTTGGCTTCAGAGTGGTAATGGCAATGATTTGGGCCTTATTCTTCACAGAGACTTAAAAACAACTGGGTGCTAATGATCTCAATTACAAGTTGTTCTCTCTATTTCCTGTTTTGCAACAAATCTTAAATCAAGTTAGCCTGATGTTTGAAAGACAGGGCTTGCAAGGAGAGTGACTGTATATCCTGGAAGAGTGACTGTACATCCTGGACTTCTGAGGGCAGCCCTACTTGGGCTGTCAGGAATTATAACCATCAGTACTGACTCTGCTCATCCCCAGAATCTCTCAGTTTGGACAATAGGTTTTATGGACACCTTAAACATTCCGTTGGTCTGCTCTTTCCATTTTTCACTTTTAATTTTTTTTAAAGTTATCATGGAACATTTACAATCGATTATAAAAAAATCTGAACAAACAGTATAATAACCCCCCATGGAACTGTCACTCAGTTTCAACAATCATCAACTAAGGATAACTCTTTTTACTTTCTTTTCTCTCTCTCTTTTTTAAAAATTTCTCTTTCTAGCTTTCTTTTTCTCATTCCCTCCCTTCCTCCCTCCCTTCATTCCTCCTTCCTCTATCCTTCCTTCCCTCCTTCCTCTATCCTTCCTTCCCTCCTTCCTTCCTTCCTTCCTTCCCTCCTTCTTTCCTTCCTTCCTTCCTTCCTTCCTTCCTTCCTTCC